CCCATTCACTTTGAATCTGTGTGTGTGTGTGTGTGTGTGTGTGTGTGTGTGTGTGTGTGTGTACCTGCCTGGGTTAATAATGCACACGTGTACGTGTCAACTGATATGACTGAGGTCAGGAAGAGTTGAAGATGTGTTTTAGAAGTAACAGTACTCCGTGGTGTACTGACTGTCAGAAAGGAGGGAAGGAGAGACCAAGGGTGACTCGTCGTGTCTGGCTGAGCAACTGAGTGGATGACGGTGCCATTTCTGAAGGTCAAAGGTCAGCCAGCCACACCACAGTCAGTGAGGACCTTGAAACCTAGTCTACACCAATTCACTGCTTCAAAATTTTTTTTTTTTGGGGGGGGGGGAAGGTCCAGTCATGGGGCTTGAACTCTGGGCCTGGGCGCTGTCCCTCAGCTCTTCAGCTCAAGGCTAGCGCTCTACCACTTGAGCCACAGCGCCACTTCCGGCTTTTTTCTTTTTTGCTTATGTGGTGCTGAGGAATCGAATCCAGGGCCTCAAGCATGCAAGGCAAGCGCTCTACCACTGAGCCACCTTCCAAGCCCCTTCAGAATTTTTTTTAAACTGAAATGGTGCTATGGCATTCACTTCCAGGATCTCTTCCAGATTCAGAACTGAATTCTCATCTAGATTAAATTATGTCATCACCACACGGTTCAGAACTAAGGATGATATTTGGGCCCTGGGATTCTTTCAGCACGAGTATCATAAAGGATAAAGCATTCATTTCAAAACTAGAACCTAGAATATTTTCCTCAAGCATAAAAAGGAAAAAGTAATTTGTCCATTTTCTCTTGGGCACAGTGTTTTGTTTTTTTTTTTTCCGTGTAGTTTCTCAGCAACAGAGCAGTTTGTTTTGTCACATAAAATTAGATTATAAGATGTCTTAACAATCCTAGGCCAAGACTGCAGAGTGCAAACAATAAGAGGCCCTATGGTAAAGCATCTGCTTTGTTTTTGAGTTTTTCTGGTTCTCCCTCCCACCTTCGCACGCTGCACTGCTTCGTCCTGATCATTTCTCCAGAACATCCTGGGACCACCCAGGTGTAGACAAGGTTTTCTGCAGAGAGAAGAAAGACCTGTCTGTTATCTCCAACACTGCCTACCTGTCTGCTGTTTGTGTATAGTGAGTTTGGCCAGACCTCAGATTCTTCTAGGTACTACATTCCTGAAATCAGCATCATGAGGTAGATCTCCATTTTTGTGTGCAAACCATGGGATTGAGTTGTTGGCAAAAGCAGCTCATAAATCCTAAGTGTAGCCCACAGCTGAGGGAGGGAGTCCAGGACTCTGAACTTCCCATCAGCAAGCCCTGAGGCAGAGATCATGGCCCCCCTCACTCAGCCAGGCTAGAACAAGAGGCACATTCAACTCCAAAAGCCTCAAAAAGAAGACATTTATCATCTCACAGAACAAGGGAGGGCAGCGGTAGCTGGCTCAGCAGTTTCCTGCCAGGGTGCAGGCTCTTTACCACTCTGCCCTACCACCCCAGCTCCTTGCCCTGACACTGAACAGCCCCTCCGGGCTACAGGGATCTGGGAAACATGTGGGTCAATACTGAGTCAGAAAAATGGGTCATTTTATGTTCTTTTAGTGAAGGACAAAGCCTTCTCCAGAAGCCCCTGGCTGACTTCCACTTGAGTTCTTATCCACGGAGCACCGAGTTCCGTCACATAGACACAGAGATTGTCCTGAGCCTTCCCTTTCTCCCTCAATCTCCTCCTTCTCCATGACCTACCCATTCTGGTTTTAAAATTCTGTGCCTATAGCGGAGCTCTGGTGGCTCATGCCTGTGATCCTAGCTACTCAGGAGGCTGAGATCTGAGGATCACAGTTCAAAGCCAGCCTGGGCAGAAAAGTCTGTGAGACTCATCTCCAATGAATCACCAGGAAACCAGAAGTGGTGCTGTAGCTCAAGTGGTAGGGCACTAACCTTGAGCGGAAGAGCTGAGGGACAGCGCCCAGGCCCAGAGTTCAAGCCCCATGACTGACAAAATATAATAATAATAATAATAATAATTCTACCCTTGTGTCAGCCACAGCAATTTATATCCTCTCTAACTACTTCTTCTCACTCCTTCAAGGTTAGCTATCTTCCCTATTGCCACTGGAAAGATGGAAACACAAATTCTGTTACGTCGCTATCTACTTAAAAGCCCTTGAGTGATTTTTTTTCTAGTTTCATAGCTGCAAGTAATCTGTTTAAAAGCATTCAGCCTCCTTCATTCTCCTTATTAGCTCAGCTCCCTCCCAGTAGTGTCCTCCCCCAACACACACACACCTTGAGTGATTGTTTCTCACAGATGCAATTACATTTCAGAGTTCTTTCTTAGAGCAGCAGTAATGACTGTAAAAAGGTCTGACATAGAAACTCACTACGCAGCCCAGTGGGTGTGAAAACGCCCTGGTTGAAATGGGGTTGGGAGACTACATCTCAGCCAGGTGGATTCCTGCACTTTCTTGGACCCTATAGTACCAGAAAAAAAGCCTGCTAAACAAGAACATGCACCTTAGGAGTGTCAACCAAGTTAATGGCAGCGACTTCAGTGGTGTAGAAGCCCAAGTGAGACACATGTTCACCCAGAGCACAGATGGCCTGCCAGTGATATTTGGCTTCAGGAGCCACATTGGTATAATGCCCACAGCCTGGACATCCCGTAAAGCAACGTCCGTGACTCCAAGAATGTGCCTTGTAGGAGATTTTATGCTCTGATGGTATCACATGGGTTTCCCCACAAAGATGCTCTAGGACAAAGCAAGCATGGTTATAGAATCACAGGTAGCCAACGTAAAAATCTGGGAGTAAGCCAGGCACTGGTTGTTCAGGCCTGTAATCATAGCTACTCGGGAGGCTGAGATCTGAGGAGCATGGTTCCATGGCAGCCCAGGCAGGAAGGTCTGTAAGAATCCTATCTCCAGTTAACCATCACAAAGCCAAGAAGGGAGCTGTGGCTCCCGTGCTAGCCTTGAGCTTGACAGCTTGGGCATAGCGCCCAGGCCCTGAATTCAAGCGCCAGGACCAATGTGACACGCACACACACACACACACACACACACATATACACATATACACACAGCACCTAGGAATAATGATTCCTAGTTATTTTTAAATGTGCTTCTATTATATTTCTTTTTTTTTTCTCTTTTTTTTTTTTATTGTAAAGATACTATACAGAGGGTTACAGTTACATGAGTGAGGTAATGAGTACACTTCCTCTTGAACATTGTTGCCCCCTCCATTGTTTTCCCCCTACCATCCCCTCCCTCCCTCCCTTCCCCGAGGTTCTTTTTTTTTTTTTTTGATTGTGATTAAGTGATTACATAATTTCAAAGTTACAAGTTCATTCTAACTTCCCTGGAGCAAACTGTATATTTCTATTTTTTATGGCTGCTTTAAAAAACAAGTAAAACATTTGCTTTGATAGTCCTCTGTGGTTGTCTGTCCTCTCGTGTGTGTGTGTGTGTGTGTGTGTGTGTGTGTGTGTGTGTGTGTGTGTGTGTGTGTGTGTGTGTGTGTTGTAAGAAATCTTAAGTTAACCATTTCATGTGCTTCCATTTCTGATCAAGGCAGTTTTAATTTTTTTTCTATTTAAGTAGTTGTACGAGGAGTTTCAAATCAACAAGTCAGAATGTGAGACAGTGCTTCTTTATCAGTGTCACCCCTACCTTGTTCTCCCCCATCTTTGCCAGTTCTACTCAAAGCAGTCAAATAGACAAGAATAGAGCTTCCAAAGCCGGGTGCCTATGGCTCACGCCTGAGACCAGAGAATTGCATTTCAAAGCAAGCCTGGGCAGGAAAGTCTGTGAGACTCTTATCTCCAATGAACCACCAAAAAGCCAGAAATGGAGCTCTGACTCAAATAGTAGAGCACTAGCTTTGAGAGAAAAAAAAATGCTTAGAGACAACACCTAGGCCCTGAGTTCAAGCTCTAGGACCTGTACCAAAAATAAATAAACACTTCAAACTGAACTGTAGTCACTGAATATGCTAATTCTAGTTCTCCCTGCTTTTGATATCCATGTGTCTTTACTTGTTAAATCTTTTTTCTTCTATAAAGACTAAAAAACTATTTGGATGCAATTTACGTCCTTGCTATGGAGACTGACGTTCTTAGTAAGGGGAAACCGTTCATGAAGAATAATTAATAAATACTAAGAAATAAAGAATCTTATTAGTTCAAGAGGTGGGATGAATGGGGGTGCATTTCAGTGGATATTTGCTTAGTGACACCTTCAGAAGGATGGGAAACAGGAGAAGGCCAGACCCCGGCTGTGCCAGCTAGAAAGCTGATTCACCTCTTTGCTTTGATTCATTCTCATTTCTAAAAGGGCTGAGGAGAGCTTGTCCTTTTGTTGACTTGGTGTGGGCTCCAAACCATAAAGCATGCCTTGCTTCCCTTCTGACTGTGTCCCCTCCCAACGCCCACCTCGACCTCCTTTCTGACGTCACCACAGGTCCCCTGCTTGGCCTGTGCATTCTCTCCGTCCCTCCTGGAGCTGCCCTGATTCCTGGTACCAACCATTCCACCACCGGGCTGTAGGATACACCTGCTAAGCAGCTGCCCTTCAGCACACTGATCCAAGGATCCCAGTCCCCTCACAGCCTCCCCATTTTTACTGAGTCTTCTCACAACCTCCACACCAATGAGAAGCTTGAAAACACATACCAGTCATCTGGGACTTGAAAATGATTTGGATTCTCTCCTAATCCTGTGGAACACAATGTTTTTAAATTAAGGGTAGCTGAAACAAAGTGATGGAGGGAAATGATAATGCTAGCCCAGCCTATTTCAGTGACACTAACAGGGTTAAGAAAATGGACTGTCAGCCATGATCAGTATTGTTGAAGTGGCAGTGATCATTCCCAGAGTAGCTGGAGTAAAACTGTTACCCAGCAGGAGCTGCTTTAATGACAGAAGAATCTGGTAACCAAGAACAACTGTACTTCCATGCACTGCTGACCTCTATCACTGCCTCTCTCTTCTGTTTTGTAGGCACGACGTGTTTGATTGCTCTACTGTCAGATAAAGACCTCACCGTGGCCAATGTAGGTGACTCAAGAGGAGTCCTGTGTGACAAAGATGGGAACGCCATTCCTTTGTCTCATGACCACAAACCTTACCAACTGAAGGAAAGAAAGAGGATCAAGAGAGCTGGTGCGTTTTGACCAACTCCAAGGAATGTCTGCCATGTTGTCTGGTTGCTAAGGCAATTGCTTGGGGAGTGCTTGTGAGATAAACTGCCCTGTTGTCCTGCAGTTCATTGCTCCTGAGGGTACCAGAATGTGGCTCTGTAATGTTTCCTATCAAATAAATAGCTACTGGCTGTGCCTCTGTAGGACCAAGGATTTCCTATTCCAGCTTAAAAGGGCTGATGATGTCTTTGAGTACTTTCTTCTTGTATCTTTCTAGGACTCTTGCCACATCCTGCTTCCTTCCAGTCCCCCCAAACACTTGATCATTTCTCATGTGATCCTTGTTTCTGGTTCATCTGGGCTTTGCAAATGCCATTACCGCTGAGTGGATAGAAATAGCTTGTTCTCTACCAGGTAGCACCACGGTGTGTGCCACAAGCGCTCCTGCTCTTGAGTTCTGTCTTTGCCTGGATCCTCTAGGAATTCCTTAGGTCTCCTCTCATTGAGCGTTGGCAGAGCTGGCCCTCTCCCGTGCCCATCCCTTCCTGACCTTGACCTTTTTAAAAGCAAGAACTTGGTCTTGTTTATTTCCATGCCTCAAGACCTAACTGGTAAAAGTAAATATTTTAAAATAAAGAGGTCTTGTATTCACTCATTTATCCACCATACTTCCTCCCCCTGAAAAGTTACATAGGGGAAGACGATAGTATACACCAATACTAACAAAAAAGAAAACAAGTTACATAGTAGTATGTCATAAGGAGAACACAAAGCACTTGAGGGAAGAATTCCTTCCCTTCCCTGACAGCTGCATCCTCATGATATGCCAGGCCACAGACCAGCTGCCAGAGCAGAGAAGTGGGATGCATGCACACAGGCACACACGTGTGCAGACACACACACACACACAGCTCTGGCCCACATGGGCCCCAGCTGTCTTGTTAATCTGCAGAGAGACTCTCCGTCTCTGCAGGTCAGCTTCTGCCCAATGAGTAAATGAAGTGAACCTAATGAATGTTTGAATTTTCACAGTAGGAAGCTGTCGTGTTGAGCCAAAAAGTTATTGAAATTGTATTATAACCCCGAATCATTTAGAATGAAGGCTTCGGTCACAATCACTGCCGATGAGCTGGAACAAACAATGATCTCAGAGCATCTGCCAAGCTTCGCTGAGCTGCAGGCAGTTGGGAGCATCCACCTGACTGCCTCTCCCCCGGGGACTGCTGTGAGCCTGTGCTTGAGACGCAGTTAGCCCGGGCTTGTATCAGCACAAGCCAAGGTGTACACACTACACCTGGAATGCTGGCATCCAGCACCCTCTTTTGAAACATCACTGCCATTTATCCCCCATCCTGTTCCTGCTTGTACCCACCAATCCACCCCTCCTCTGCGATGATCCTTCTAGAAGCAAATACAAACATCATCTCCAAGGAGGTGAATCCATCTTATTCTGTTCTTCTACATAGTTGCATCAGTGGTGTATTTTATAGGAAGGCCTGAGGAACAGTGATTAGTTTTACTGTCTTTATGTTTCCTCTGACACCAGCCTTCCTTTCGGGACAGCTCTTCCCTTCCTGCTCAAAACCATAATATGAGAGCCAATCAATCTGAGTAAAATACTGTACATGTTGGGTTATTTGGTTTCTTTTTCCTTTTTTTTTTTTTTGGTGCATCATGGGACTTGAGCTCAGGGCCTGGGTGCTGTCCCTGAGCCTCTTTGTGCTCAAGACTAGCACTCTACCACTTGAGCAACAGTGCTGCTTTTGGCTTTTTCTTAGTAGTTTATTGGAGATAAGAGTCTCATGAACTTTCCTGGCTTCAAACCATGATCCTCAGATCTCAGCCTGTTGGCGAAGTAGCTAGGATTACAGGCGTGAGCCACTTCTGCCTGGCTCTTTTTCCATTTTTATAAGCATATATTAATTGTACAGTAGGGTTTCCTTGTGATACTTCCATGCATATAAATGTGCCTCCCTTCTGCTCCCCACTTCATTTTTGTTTTTTTTTTTTTGGCACCAGTACTGGGGCTTGAACTCAGGGCCTTGAACTCTTGCTCAGCTTTTTTCTTAAGGCTAATGCTCTACCTTTTGAGCTACACCCCCACTTCTGACTTTTGGCTGGTTAGTTAGAGGTAAGAGTCTCATGAACATTTCTACCTGGCTGGTTTTGAACCCCAATCCTCAGATCTCAGCCTTATGGGTAGCTAGGATCACAATGCATGAGCCAGTGGTACCCAGCTCACTCCCCACTTCTTAAGGAGCGGTTTCAATAGATTACCTTATTCTGCTTTCAGAAATGCATAGAAAGAGCTGCAAATACATTCACCTTTTTCATCATCTCTTCCCTTTAATATTCTTGAAATCCATAGAGATGCCAAGAATGGGGGCCCAAGGGGGGGTTTCAATCCCTAAACCAGGCAGCAGGATCCTGATGGGACGAGGAAGAGGGTACATACTTTGGCCCAGCTCACATGGAGTAGACCACCTTGTCACTCACTTACCCAGACTGTACCAACTGTGGGAGATACCCACTGGGCAAACTCACTCTCTCCCTCACTCTTGTCTTTCCAGGTGGTTTCATCAGTTTCAATGGCTCGTGGAGGGTCCAGGGAATCCTGGCCATGTCTCGATCCCTGGGAGACTATCCACTGAAAAATCTCAACGTGGTCATTCCGGACCCCGACATCCTGACCTTTGACCTGGACAAGCTCCAGCCCGAGTTCATGATCTTGGCGTCTGATGGCCTGTGGGATGCTTTCAGCAATGAAGAAGCCGTTCGATTCATCAAGGAGCGCTTGGATGAACCTCACTTTGGAGCAAAGAGCATAGTTTTACAGTCATTTTATAGAGGCTGCCCTGACAATATTACAGTCATGGTGGTGAAGTTCAGGAATAGCAGCAAAACAGAAGAGCAGTGAACCCTCCAGGGGTCTCCGCTGCCTTAGACGAAGGACTTTTCACACACTGGTCTCTTTCATGTAGTAAAAGGTGTGGGAATTGTAATTAGGATCATCCGCCCCAGACTCTAAGCGTCCCCCTCCCTCCCTTGGTGGTCTTAGATTGATAATGGAGAGATGAACAGAGATGCCCTGGCCAAAGTGGTAGAAAGGCTGGAAAATGGTTTCTTCATGCTTTCCCAACTCTCTCATCAGTGTCAAAATATATAAGTAGGTAGCTGTAGATGCACAAACCCGGGGATGGCCGGTGTGCTCGCGGCAGTCTGTTGCAGGTTCTTTTCAGGATCTCCATCACAGTCGTCCAGGGTTCAGCCTTCATGGCCGCTCTGCATGCAGGGACAGGGACACGCCTTCCCTGCCACATGGGATGGGCACTGTGCTGCCTGGCCAGTTGGGAGCCAGAATGTCAGTACCCTCTCCCTAAGAACAGAGTGGTCTGAAAAATGCTTTGTCCTCTCGAGACTGCAGCCGCCCCAAGGCAGATCTGTAATGGGTTCTTGGCTTGCTCATGGAGACTGAAGGGAGTGGCAAGCACCAGATAGCAGGGCCTCCTGGCATCCTGGCATGGCCTCCACAACAGGAATGGGCCCTCACCTCACTCCCCGCTTAGTTGATGACTCCTGGCCCACCCTGGTGCGATTCTCTCCATTGCGCATGACTATGTCTCTGGCTCGCATCTGTGACAGACAGATGTTTGGCTGCCAAACCCCACAATTTGTCCTCTTACCAATACAACATGAGGGGAAGCAAACAAAGCAAACTACAGTGTCAGATTCCTTCCATCTTTAAGAGTGAGTTAGGAGAGAGAAACTCCCAGTGCCCCTGGAAGTCTGTCTGAACTGGGAGAGAAAGGAGAGAGCTGGAGAGACCACCGCCCAAGTGCTGCTTCCTGTGCAGCTAGCTTTGCTTCCCTTGCAGCTAGCTTTGCTTCCCATGAAGCTGGCTTTCCTCCCCCAGCACACTGGCTTTCGAGTATCTGTCAAGCAGAGATTAGAGAAGCAGCGGCCAAGAAATGTGTGTGGGTCCCTTGAACTCAGTTTCCAGCCACCATTTGCACACTTGAGAATTGGAGGAACTTCTTGGACATACTTATCAGCCATGCAAAGAGCCTTCTCTAGACAAATGTGAACTGCCTCACATCACCTGGAGGAAGACAGCCCAGGGCCTGCAAAGCTGGTTTGCACCTCAAGGAAGGCTCTGTATGGAGAAGGATTTGGAGACCTGGTTTGCTGCTCTCCATTTCCTGTCACCAAAGTTCTGTTTTTTCCCCTAGCCTTAGTATTTTTTATGTTAACTTAGAGAAAATATCGGTTATCCTCTTTGTCTAAAGAAATAGAGGCAACTCAAGCAGCCAAACAAGAGTCTTGTTGCCTTTCTACCTGTACGGGCTCAACCTGGGTCTGGTTCTTTCTGAAGCCATCCAGCCCCTCTTCACCGGCGCCTTCCTTCCCCAGTGTCCTGCCTCTGTCCTTCAGCTGCAGAGCCTCCCCAAGAAGCCCTTCTGTGTCAAGATCTGTGAAGAAGAAAGATGAACTTGGGCTGCTGAGGTCTGCCCTTTGCCTTGACTCTTCCCACAGCTTAACCTTCCTTTGACTGCACTGAAGATTATTAATGATTTCCCAAGAGATTTGCTTACTTTCATACACACACACACACACACACACACACACACACACACACACACACACACACACACACACACACACACACACACACACACACACACACACACACACACACACACACACACACACACTGTATTTCCCAACCTTAGAATTAGAATATTGGTTATTGCTTCTTAACTGTAGAAGGTTGTAGTATGAAATATCTGCCACCCCTTTTAGATCCTGTAGAAAGCCACTGAATGCATGGGTGCGTGTTCAGGTGAGGGTGGGGTGGGAGAGGGTGTAACAAGTCCACCCAGTCAAGGATGTTGGGCAGTCAAGCTGTTTGCTGAGGGTTCGTTAACATGGTCCATTCTCTAACTGAAGCATTTTATCATCCATACCCACCTCGCCTTCCTTATTTATCTTCATTGTTTTCTGTGTGTTGGTACTGGGACTTGAACTCAGGGTATGGACACTGTTCCTTAGCTTTTGGGCTCAAGCCTAGTACTCTATCACTTGAGCCACAACCCCACTTTTTGCTGGTTAATCGAAGATAAGAGTCATAAACTTTCCAGCTGGGCTGTCTCCACACTGCATCCTCAGATCTCTGCCTCCTAAGTTGTTAGGATTACAGGTGTGAACCACCAGCGCCCAGTTTCACCCTTATTTTTTGCCTAACAATAATGCATAATAATGAGGAAAACACATTTTAAAATTCTACATCCTTTTTAGGTCTAGACTAGAAATAGTAATATTTTGCTGAAGACGAAAGAAATGCTACTAAACTAGTAAATTGGCGTTTATTCACCAAGGAAAATTTCTTATCAGATCATGCTGGTGCAGTGGTTATAACCTTCTAATTGAGGTTCACACCACATCTTCACATTTTTATGTGGGAAACTAGCTTGTTTCGGATTTTTAACCAAACGAGTGTATGTCTCATACGCCTCCTTTTCTGCACTCCCCCCCACTATGACCTGTAGATTTTTAAGAAATTCTAAGCAAATTTTAGAAATTCTAAGAAAAATAGTAGTAGTGTGATGCATAGTTAAGTTATAAAATCAGATGCTTTATTCCCTTCCCAAGGGTCCTCCTGGAGTCCTCTGTCCAGCAGCAGGGATCTACAGCAGCACCCTGGGCTGCCCAGGGGTGCTCTGGCTACTCACCCTTTGGAAAAGCTCAGGAAGGTTGACTAGCTGAGGGAAAGTGACAGATTTGCCTGCCGAGTTTCCCAGACCAGCACTGCCAGAGCTTTGGAATGACCGCCCGAGGCCGCTGCACTCCTTAGAGAGCCTGAGTTCCAATTGCCAATAGTCCCCCTGGTGCCAAATGTCGGGATGGGTCTAGAAAAACTGTCTTGCAGAATTGAAGCTGAGAATGAGTGCATCCTAGGAGCCCCCAGCAAGAAAGACACCACTCCCAGGTCTTTGTATGTCACCACTCTGTGCCTGCACACTGGCACTGTAACCCCCTCAAGTAGAGACGGGGAGGGGGGATGGGGTCTTTTGAAATAACTCAACTACATATGTAGTTCTGTAATCATAAAAACTATACTTAAATAGGAAAATCTTCAAGCTAGTTCTCAGTTCCCGACACCTGTTTTTTTTTTTTTTAATCCATGAAGAACTTGCTCAAGACTATCAACTTGGAGTCTATTCAAACACAACATGACTGTTTGCATATGTAGTCACTACCGGTGGCCAGCTGACCCTTGCTGTGAATTCACTGTTGGCCTCTTGGACCCTGTGTGTGTCGGGAGTATTTTATAAGTGTTACAGTAAAGCACATTTTCAGGCGAGGTCACTGAAAACACCCCATTCCACCCAAGTGTGATGGTTGTGACATTTTGCACAATGGCGAGCTCGGTCCCACCACTGTGGTAGCTTCATCCAGTCTTAATCTGAGTGATTCTAGGAATTACATTCCACAATGGCGAGGCTCACTTGGGGGGGGGGGGGGGGTGGGCGGGGGGGAAGTCTGGAATTGTATGAGGGGCTCATAAAGGGAATGAGCTCATTTCCTTTGCCAGGAAGACCTTAATTTTTTTTTTTCCTGATCCTTTTTTCTCACTGAATTCCTGGCACATCTAACGTTCTGGTTTGTACTCTAAAAGGCAACCTTACATTGTACATCGTATAGGAATGCATCCTCTGTTGAAAATTGTTATTTTCCAATGATTTCAGAAATGATTTTTTTCCTCCCTTTGACCTACCATTAGACTAATCTTTCCTGAATAGTTTTCCCCAAAATTGCCTTGGATTTTCACACCAGCATTCCTGATCCAACCCCGGGAGAAATGACATCACTGTTAGATGCCATACTGGATCGGTGGACTTTACCTGCATTAAAATAAATGCACTCAATTAACTCACTGTTCTGTAGCCTCTTCAGCTAGTCACTGCAGGAGTAGAGGAAATCATGTTTCCCTGTGTGGCCCCGAGAACACAAGTTCCAAAGATGCTTTTCTCAGCATAGGAGTTCCAAATCAGAGAAGTCTGGAAAACACATACTTTCTTAGAAAGGGCACATAGGGATTTAAATGTCCTGGAAGTGAAGGAAAAACAGCATCTATCTATATTATTTCTGCTCAGTGTTTTCTAGATTGTTTGGACCACTGAACAATTTGTTGAATAATATCTAAGAAAAGTCCCAGGAAGTACAATTCAGTGGGACTGCTTTGAGGAAATCCTGGTATATCAAAATAGAGCCAGTTTCCTCATTCATGTTGACCTTAAGCAGTAATAGTACAGTTGACAGTTATTAGTCCTCTCACGTAAGAGGTTGGCAGAGAGACTCAGACTATGACTGCTGGTAGCTCACGTTGGTAGCAGACGTTCAGCCATCTTCCTTGACTATAAATATCATCTCTCTCCTTTTATGGAAATAACAAGCTAGAGCTGTCCTGCAGCTAAGCAGTTCTCAGATCGGTTCCAAGAGTTTTCCATTGCTTTTCTGCTTTTCAGATTGAATCAAAATATTTCTGCATTTCATCACAGTGTAATAGTAAAGTACATAGAGAAAATAATAGAGCAGGGGGAAAAATACTTGGTTTTAATTCACCTTTGAATCTTTACTGAGATTTTTAAATTAACTTATAAAATAATAGAAATGTAAACTATTATTAACATCTGTTTAGTCTCTTTCCTGTTGTTCTGTCCACATTCAATGAAATAATTTGGAAGGTATAGCTCATATGTCCTCAAATTCCTGTCCCTCGTCAGCCTACCTTCTCTGATTCAGTTTGGCAAGTCATTTCTTGCCTAAAATGTAAAGCTCGATGGTAGTCACTCTAGGCCTGGTCCAGTGTGTTTGGAAATTATAGCAGATAGCCCTATAAATAATCCAGTGTGCTACAGCATGACTTGGGGTAAGGGCACTTGTTTAAAATTCCATGTCTACAGGAATATACCCATCCTCTGGCTGTTCACCTACAGTAGGGCGGCAATCTACAAGGACAATCCTGTGGCCAGTTGGCGGGTTGCAAGGGTCAGTGGGCTGTCAGCACTGTGAAGTTTCGATTGGCGTGTGTTATGTTTTAACATGTATATTTTCCCCTAGACTTAGTAGTGTTAATGCTTTCCCATTGTTCAGTTGACCACAGTTAGGCTGCACAGTGATAAGCCATAGGCTGCCTGCAATCAGTGTATGTGCTGAGTGATCACTGCACCAGCCCCCGGACAAGCACTGCGATCTCTCGTCGTTCAGGTCTTTGAGGAGAACACATAACTGCGCATTGTGACAGATGATCACAGCCATGTTCCCTGTCCAGCATGCAGCAGGAAGCCAAGGGACAGATTCTATTTAGGGACATGTTTTCATTTATCCTAGAACTCCTATCACCTGGCCCACTTTAACCACAAAAGCCTATCTAGCATTTACCACAGCCCATTTAGTCATTTTGAAAAACAAAAACAAAGAACCCACACCCCCAGCTCAGCACAGTGGATTACGATGGAGGCTGTGGGCAGCTCTGGGTGCGGCTTGGGCGGTTTTGAGGAGGTCTGCCTGAGCCCCTGGCCTCAGCAGCTGAGAGACTGTATTCGCCGCACATTCTCCCATTGCCTGGTGCAATCCAGAAGCTAAACGGACTAGCTTGCGTTATTCCAAATATTTGTATTTTAATTCGTCATTTAAAATGTATTCATACCAAAGCAAAGTAATGTAATCAAGGAATTCAGTGGGCAAGGGGTAAGGAACTTTTTCCTGCCAAGGGCCACTGGATATTTATAACATCACATGGCAGCATGCAGAATGATCAGTACAGGATATTTATAACACGATGTGCCATACAGAAACTATCAATACCGGCGGAAGGCTGAGTGAGGGTGGCAAACGACACACAGCAGTACATCTGTCCAGGCTACCATGTACCAAGTGACTTTTTCAGGCCAGATGTACCCCACCACCACACCCCTCCGAAGATACCCAGGAATTAACATGGGAATGGAGGTTCTCTGAAATGTGAGTTTACCACATACAGACAATTTCTGACTCCTACCCACAGATCAGCAGAGAACAGTTATTACTGCTCACCGACACACTAGAAAGGAAGCTTGCTTTTTTACTAATGAGGCTGGTGAAATTACAGTTCCGGTTCCATATCCCTGTGCAAACACGTGTCTCAGCTTGCTGCCGCCCTGGGCTCTATTGACTTTCCAATTCCTGTACATGGTTTAATTATGAATCTGTAGAATTTGTACATTTTCAAAGAGGAGATAGCCCTTTTTAGAAACTTTAAAGATCCTAGAAGTAAATAGTTAGCCTTTCAAATAGGATTACAGACACCAGGCAGTGGGACCTGTATTTAACATCTTGGTCATTTTTTTTTTTTTTATCTCCAACACATATTCAGAAGTGGAATAATAGATACAACAGTAGCAAAAGCTTAACTATTGCCTGTACTCTAGAAAATATGGTTTGCCCTTTTTAATATATCTGAAATACATATTAATGTTGGAACAGTAACATGGCCTTTCAAATTTATTCAATTACTGAAGTAAATCTTAATTTATAGAACATACAGTACTTGATATCATAGGAAATCTATACCTCAGCATTCCCTTG